GCCAGTAGTCAACAATGACATTACATTCCAGGTTGCAATAGTATATCCCCCTTTACATGACCTATTCCTTTTCATACTCTTCTCTTCATTATCCTGGTCATCTTCTACTCCCTCCTCTTTCATTCTTTTTTTGTCTTTCCTCCTTTGCATCCACCTCTCCCTCGCTCTCACCTTCACCTTTATTTGACGATTTGTAAGACCTAGCCCTGCCAACTCTCTCAAGTAGTTTTGTCTACCCGTCATTCGTTGACCACTTGAGTCTTCCTCCTCGTCTGCCCTAGTGCCAACATTTTCGACCAATCTACTCACCCCTAGGGTCGTAGATGAGGATCTGGTCTGTCTATTTCTATTATTCGGAGCTTGAAGCTGTTATTCTCTCATGGAGTTGCCAGCCCACATGAGGGTACCCTCCCACTTCGACTTAGTGTTTCCCCTTTCGCCTTCACGGCCTTGGGACCGTCTTCCGTTCAATCATAGACAAGTCCTTAGATTTCACAGAAGGAGTGGTTACTACTACTACTACTACTACTACTACTACTACTTGCGTCGATGGTAATCGTTGACCAGGTATGGGTGCGCGACCGAAACCGATCGTGTCTGGTCCTATCAAGACTATACCTCAGCGTAGGGTGGAGCTATGTAATGCGGAGTGCCAAACGACAGCACGACCAGATCTTGATAAAGATGCTGTTATCTGGCGACTACGACCTAGAAGTGTCGCTTGAAGAGGCGGTGCTACACCTCCATCATTATAACCATTGTCACCATAGTAGCTTATGCGGCGAACAGTCTTGAGTTCGCAGTAATGGGAGAGTTCACAGCAACGTGGGGTGATTCCCTCACCTTATCGAGGGGTCGAGCGCTAGGCTCTCCTGTTCAGTGACGTATTAGAAGTACTGTTATTGAGCTCGGCTATGTGGTGATAGAATGTTGGAAATACGAAGGACTGCCTTGACCTTTTTCTCTTGAGTTTACTATAGTTAATTCAGCATTATGTTACGATCACGCCTAGCATCCCTCCGAAGGCCGGTACAGTGCCGGACCTCATACGCTGGTGCTGTCGACAGACACATTCAGTTGAACGTTCGTATCGCGAAGATGGAAAGTCTTGAGGAGGTGGCTCGCTGTGTAGAGCATGACCTGGGCTCTATGAATGTAGTCAATATGGTTACTTGCATGCATAGGGCTGCACGCCATAGCAGTCAGGATGCTAAGAAAGCTACTTGTGAGTACTACTACTAGGGTCCATAGGCTCATCACTGCGTTCCCTCCAGCTCTCGTTTATCGGCTTGCTAACAGGCTTACGGCCTTTATGACCAAAAGTAGTCCTCGAGGCATTGCAGAGTTGAGGCCGATGTCCCTATCTAATGCTATATGGGCGATAGCGACTGTTGGTGGCACAACAGAATGGAAGGTTGAGGTGAGCTGCCATTGACTGGGAGTGGATTTACGGTAGTGGTTATATCTAGTATAATACACTAGCTCTATTTTTCATAGTATACTACTGCAATTGTCCCTATAATATATACAAGTGTATATACATTACCAGTAGTTATAATTTATTATTATCACTTCCATTCACCGTAGTGTTTACATTTAGCATTATACACTATAAACAATGTCCCCATCTATTTATGATACATATTGTTATCATGTTCATAATATCACTTGCATTCATGGTAAGATTTGTATTGTAGGTCATCGAAGCGATGCAAGCACTGCTAACACCCGATTTGCTGACTACGATGAAGCCTCAACTACTGGCCAACATAGCATGGGGTATCGCTAAAATTCATCAACAACGGAAAGTAAAGCGACACCAGAGGTATCCATCTTGGCATGCTACTCCCCCCTGGTGAGATTCAACTTAGGTGTGACTCCTCCTCGATAGCTATCATTGAATCGATTGCACGCGAGGTGGCCCGGCGAGGGCCCGGTCAAAGGGCATGGCCCGAGCTCCAACCACAGAACATCAGCAACATAATCTGGTCCTTCGGGGTCCTTCTTGATGCTGATATAGTTATAGTAGAAACAGCGTTGAAAGATCTCCTCCTATTGCAACAAGTACTCCAACCGCGAGCTAGAGACATCAGAGCTCAACATGTTAATAACACTACTTGGGCTATAGCTAGGCTTTATTCGAGGGAGGGCATCTTGCTACCAATAGGAGTTAGAGAGGCAGTGCATCGACTCTTCGACTCGGCCATTCGACGCCCTTTGGACTTCCGATCAGCTGATTGGGCTAATCTAGCTTGGAGTTATGCTAAACTGAAGGACTCCCATGAAGGGGAAGAGATACGCGAATGCCGTATAGTAGAGGCAGCAACAGAGGCACTCGAACGGCATGACGCTGTCAAACCGCGATCAGTCGATTTAGCCAACGTGTTGTGGGCTGTGGCCAAGCTGAAGCTGTATGCTTACAAGGCCTTCGCTGAGAGGTGCATCGACCGGTACCTGAGCGAGGACAGGCTCTGGGCTGAATGCTCATCACATCATATGTCCAGTCTTGCTATTTGTGCACAACAACTGTCCCTTAGTAATTTAGAGGGAATTTTCGGCAAAATTGGTGAGCGCTTATACCGGAAAAGTTGTTATTGACCATCGCTGTAGGCAGCGCTATAGTGCAAGGCTCCCACGGCTTCCATCATGTTGACGGTCCCACTATCGCCTCTCTCCTCCCTGTCTTCGTTACAGCTGGTCAACATCTCCGTCACGAGCGAGCTCTAGTAAAGCTGCGATCACTCTGTGACCCTTCCTCGTAATGAGGTATATGCTGCTGTTGTTTATGTATATGTGGTTCAGGCTGGAAGCAGGGGAGGTGGTCATAGTGAACCATGCACTTACTCAGCTACCCTCCAAACCAGCGCTCTTCCGACCTATCAAGTGGGAGGACTACTCCTTGTCTGTTATGACGGACATGTTCAAGGCAGATCAAGACCTCTGTGAGGAAGTGAGCAAATACCAGCACTCTTGAATAGGCATATGTCGCATTATTCGTTGAGTCTGAGTTTGTATCTGGATAGCCATAGTCACCAGTGTTGGAATATATGTTCGCTTTCCCCAGCTGAGCTTAGGAGTTTCCGGAACTGATCATCCAGGGTTACATACGAATTGGGGTACAAGTGGACAGGAGCCAACAAGAATTTCCCAAGACTTCATCATATTTTCCATATTATTGCCGCCGACACATGGAGTTGATCATGAGCATATTTTCCTACATTGTTTAGGCATTAAATGATCCGTTTTCTAAAATTGGCACTGTAGCAGTAGCAGCGGCCCGCAGTGGTGACAGGGAGGCTGATCGCACTGATCGTGCCAGAAATGATGTCCGCTTGGGTGAGTTTTTCAAGTGTTGTCCCAGGTCATAAACCCCTTGTGTATTAGGTAGTGACTTCTGGAAACGAGTAGTCGACATAGCCATGGTTGGTCTATGTAACCGAACCCCGCTCGAACGTGCCCAACTACTCCACGCTTTAGGGAAAATGGCGTAGGAGAGGAACCACGTCTGTGACTTCTTGCTATCCTCGATCAGGTATCATCCGGGTGTGCAATGCCTGAGGCGACTAGTCGAGGCTGCTGCTGAGACGGTTGGGGATATGGACCCGGCCAGTGTCGCGTTCTGCATACATGGTATGGCAGCACTTGACGTTACTCCGTTACCTGAGGAAGTTGTCTCGGCTGCTTATGAGAAGCTCCCTGGCATGAACAGAATGGAGGTAAACCGATAGGGGTGTATAAATTAACGCATTGTGAGCGGGTGAAATCTGCGATTGTTAGCGTGGTAGGCGATCAAGACTGCATACTCCTTCATACTTGGACGGAGGAGTCACGTGGGAGACGAGCAACTGATAGATACGCTGGCCCATGCCTTAGCAATGAGGAGTGAATGCCCTGTGGATATGCAATTCCAAGAGGTGGAAGTCCCAACCTGAACTTGGTCGAGCTTGAATTCGTGTAGGCGATCGCAGCCCACTGTGGAGTGGCGTTCAAACCTGCATGTACCTTACCAGTGATTCGACAGGAGTCGGCGGCGCCCAAGCCCAGCGCTGGTCAGAGTGAGGTAGGGAAGACCCTTTCAATGATGAGAGTAGCTCATCGGGTCGAAGTTGATGTTGGTGTTGGTGGCTACAGTATCGACATGGTCATACCACTTTCTGTTTGAATATTATCGTTTCTGACACGCACCTTTCGTTGTGTAGAGGTCTTGAGAATAGGGTATAGGCGAGGTCGACTTAAGCCCACGCGGGTAGGAACTACACCTTTTCCCGTGCAAGTTTGACAAGTGAGCAGACAAGAATGACAATGTTACCATCAAGAGTGACAATGAGAATCCAAGTTTGTCACAATTCAATTCTGTTACAATCAAGTTTAACTTTGAGAATTCAAGTATGTCACAATCGAGATATGTTACCATCAAGATTGACAATGAAAATCCAAGTTTGTCAAAGTTCAATTATGTTACCATCAAGATTGACAATGAAAATCCAAGTTTGTCAAAGTTCAACTATGTTACAATCAAGATTGACAGTGAGAATCCATGTTTGACACTTGTTTCCTCAGTTACAACCAAGTTTGACAGTGAGAATTCATGTTTGACACCGCCAGAATATATCACAATCAAGAATGACAATAAACCACACAAGTTTGACAATA